GTCGCCGACTCCGGCAGGTGCATCTTCTCGCGCGCGGCCGGGACGAGCATTTGGGTGTGTCCCTGGCACAGCCAGCAGCCTGGCGCATGGGCGCTTGACCTCGCCAAGTTGGGGTCGCCGCGGACCCTTTGTTTTGACCGACCTCCACCGCCGGGCAGCAGGTGGCCTCCGTCGGTGAGCACTTGCTGCTGCGGAGGTCCGTGTGCCAGGTGGGGACGCTCCCTATCCCCTCAGCCCCCTGGCCTGGGAAAAGGTGTCCAGTGGCCTACACTTGGCGGTGGGGCTTTGCGAAGCTCTCCCAGTGTTCGCGCGGGACAGGGGACTGCGGGCCATGGCCGCGGGGACTGCAGCCCTTTCCGAGCCGCTCTCTTGGGTGCACCGTCGGCAAAGATGTGTGCAGGGACTGGCGCGCCATGCTTTGGCTGTTTGCCAAGCTGGCCCCAAGCTGCATGCAGGCAGAGGCTGTACGCTGGCCACTGTTCAGGGGCTAGTGGCAGGTGCTCGGCTGGAGAGTGCCCCCTTGGTGCCTTCTAGTTCAAAGCCCGCCGAAAGCTGTTTCCTTAGAGGGATATTTGTGTTCAGGTGCGAGCTTCTTGGAGGCGCACTCTGGGTCGTGCTGGCCTTTGTACCCCAGTGCCTAGCAGGCACGCAGGCGCATGAGACCCTGTGGCAGACCGAGGCAGGTCGCCAGCGGAGGGGATCCCCTCTTCTGCGCAGCCATAGGGTTTGGTTTAGAAACTTGGTGTGCCTTTTGTAAACTCGAAAAGCTCTATTCTTTTAGAAAGGTTGCCTCATGGGAAATGTGAAGGGGGCATGAGTAAAAATTAATGGCATGGGGCTTCCTCCCCCCACCCCCACCCCTATGCTTTTGCCATAGGGCCTGTAAGCTGGGGGGTGCTTTCCCCCAAGGAGGACGGAAACGCCCCACAGTCTCTTCTCCATCCCCTCGGTGAAGCATTTTGGGCAGCATGTGTGCGTGGCATCGTCTTCAAGCTGCAGAGTCAGGGACTCAGCAGGGCAGTCGCCCACGCGAGATCCATGCACTGTAACCAGCACTGCATCTGCTGGGCTCCTCGATGTCCTAAGTGAGCCTTGCTTACTGTGTCAGACCACAGGGTGACACTTCCCCTCTAAGGTCATCTGCCACCATTCTGAACAGACAGCCTTTGGAACAAGAGGGTAGCTTGAGGTGTTTTCAGAAGACATCAGCTTTCCACCGTGTGGTGCAGGCAGTCTCCTGGGACCCGCTTTGACTTAGTCTCACTGGGAAGGCTCAGGTAAGTCTCCCCAGTGGACAGCTTCAGCCCTGCTTCCTGGGTGGCAGGAGACTCCTCTACCGGGGGTCTGGGGGGGGGGGCGCATCCTAGAACTGCAGGGCCAGCCCGACAAGCAGGGCGCGTACACGACTGGAAGGTTACCTGACCATGGCCCTGTTCTCAGTGACCTTAGGGTGGAGCCAGGAGATTTAGTCACAGCCACTGTGACTTCCGTTAGTAAGACAGAACAAGGTAAGTGCCCGTGACAGGACCAGAGGTGAAGGAGGGTGACCACCGTGGGCGGAAGGTCTCAGCCCAGGGCTCACCGGGGACATGTCCCTGTGCAAGACCAGAGCCAGGGTCGCCAGTTTCTGTCTTAAAGTGCCCCAGAAGATTTCACCGTACGGCCGAGACGAGCGGTTAGCAGGCTTAGCAGAGCCCGCTTCCTGGAGGGCGTGCACCCGAGTGCACAGGGGACGGTCGTGGGTGTCGGAGGTAGAGACAGGTGTGCCAGGCCACACTCTCGGCCTACAAAGGCGCTGAAGGCCCAGAGATTTGCAGGCCCGCCCCCTGAATGGCACAGTGGTAACAGGGGCCTCTTGAGGGCTCAGGTAATGAGCCCTGGGTGCCTCGCTTCTTACAAGGATCCATGGTTATGGCTCTGGAGAGTCTGGGCTGCCTCCCCCCTCCCTGCACCTGGAGGACAGGACAGCCAGCTGGGCGGGAAAGGGTTAGGAAGGCACAGATTTTGTGGAACTTTCTCCCGGTGGCCCCTTTTGGGCCACATATTGGGCTTAAAAATATACCTGTCAGGCCAGCCGGTGGTGTGGTGGTTCAGGTGGCTGGATCTCACATGGCCGACTGTGCAGTTTGAGTCCCAGACCCGGTGGCTTGAGGGACTTGCTGGCGTGTGCTGCGCGCCTGAAGTCCTGAGAGGAGAACGGAGGAGGGGCCGTAGCATCACCATCCATCCCCTGGGCATGTGCTTTCTCTCTTTCTGTCTGTCTGTCTGTCTCGGCCCCTGGCAAGTGCACATTCCCCGTAGCAAAAAAAAAAAAAAAAAAGAAAAGAAAAAGTGTTTTGAAGTGCTGTTCCAGGCCCCGGCAGCAGCTTCCGTGTAAACTTAGAGCCATGTGACTAGGACAGTCACCTCCCATCCCAGGTAGAGCCGGTGGGCCGGCGCCCCTACCTGCCTGCCACGAGTGCCCTCAGACGTGGCTGTGGCCTATGGGTTTGTTCCCGCCTTGTCCTCACAAGGGCCACTGTGTAAACACGCCCTCCTTAAACTCCCGCACTGTTATGTGTAAGAATGTGTGTGAGTACTCTCGTGTTACGTGATTACCGATCGTAGCCGTACTGCTGACCTGATATGGACGTGGGAATGCACACAGACACAGACCTTTACAGGGGCCCAACGAGAAGTAAACTCAATTACATTTTCCCAGTGAGTTGATGGTACAAAAACTTTCGTATAAACATGCTTTTGAAAAAGTGGGCAGCAGGTGGCGTGGTGGTTACGGATGCTGGACTCCCCCATGGCCAACTGTGGTTCGAGTTCCTGACTTGGCAGCTTGCATTCTCATTTTCTGCTCTCGCTCTCTCTCGCTCTGTCCCTCTCTGGTCAAATTAAAAATAAATAAATAGGGACCAGTAGTTAGCGTAATGGCTATGTCGCTGGACTCCCACGTAGTTGACTGTGGTT